CTGGCTCCGTCGGCCACGACGGCGTCTCCTTTCAGCTTGGCCGTTTTCGGTCAGTTTTGGCCGATTTTGTACAAAAACTTGTAAGAAACGAGGTTAGGCAGCCTCTGTTGGTTAGATAAGGGAAAATCCGAGGCATTACTGACGAATAAGTTTTTCGGTATGACAGCTCCACCGTTTCTCTCTCGCGGCCTATGATTTTCTTTGGTTGACATGCACTAGAAAAGGATTAAAAGCACAATGGTAGAAAAATCGAAGGGAACATGAAATGAGAAATGGCTCATTGGAGTGGTTTTTGGGTCGCAACTATGGTGGGTCTGCCGAGCTCTGCTCTCGGTTTCTGACTTCTTTTTTGGTTTTTTTACTCTGATATGGGTGTGAAAAGGCTTCAAATTAAATTTCGAACGAAAGAGAAAAAAGTTTTACCTTTACAGCGTCGGTGGTGACTTTGTTATAGCGGCAACGGTGATCGATTTTCTTTCTGGCTTCCCTTATTCTTCTTATCCATCGAGCTTATGTGCGGTTAGGGTTAGGGTTTTGGGGATTAGATGTTTATATACCTTCTCCACGTCGATCTGGGCTATCCATGCAGGAACACGTAGCCCACTCGCTGTCGTTGGATCGTTTTTATTTTAAAAATTAATTTAAGTTGTATGATCTAATCAAATCTAATCGTTCGATCGTGTCTAAAGATAAAATAAATCTAAACCGTCCGTGCGCATGGAAGGAGATCTGGATCATTTAACTTCCTACTATTATGATCTCTCACCATATAAAAAAAGTTGATTTTGATCCAAGGAGCAAGAAGCAAGTCTAAAGCTCAAGTGTTAACATTATTTTGAATTCGATGGGATTATCTATTTTTTCACAAGAGTTGAGAAACAATTATAGTTCTATAAAGCTTAGATGACAATTTGATGGGTATAACTCCTAATGCCCAATAAAAATAATCTTGTTCCTCTACTTCCATATATGTTATACGAAGTACGAAATAATGAGTATATGATGAACATGGACATTGATGCCTTACAACAACAACTTGTAATAATGAACTTTTTATACATCACGCGCATTAATATAGATCACGTTCGTATAAATCTTTATGTCACAATCACAAAGACAATTATAATTAGTTTGAGTAGTACGTACACTTTCAATTATTTATTAATTTAATGATTTTGTGTATTTAAATATTTATTTATATAATTTAATAATTTATATGATTTACTATTAAGTTGAAGAGGTCTATAATAATTTAAAACCCAACAGTTAAATTAAATGAGTATGAGGTGACTCATATAATAATTTGTAAAATTAATTTTTTATTCATATTTTAAAAATAAAAAATTTAATTTTGGTATAGCCGTGCAACGATTGCACGTAGATTCGCTTCCTACTCCACGCGCCCCCATTTCGTCTTTGTTTCTCGCACAAAGCAAAAGAGTGACAGCGAAGAAGACACAACTCCGTTCAATTTAGGGTTAGGGCTGTCCCTAATCCGGATACCGTCGTTCCGGTTCGATTTGGGTCAGAGAAGCTAAAATGTGTCGCGAATTCACTATCA